CCCCCCCCCCCCCACTTTCATCGTGAGTGATGGCATGAATGTATACATATATGTGGTTACCAAATTGGAAATATATTTTTTTTTTTTCAATTATACATTGTGTCCTCCTTTGCATGTCCTCTTCGTCGAACAGAATGGGCCCTGACTCTCAGGTGAACGTCTCAGCCTGGTGATTGTCACTTGTACTTACATGCGTATGCGCCGTGCAGAGATATCCACGCAGCATATGCGCGCTTAGCGGCACCCCAGCTGTATATTTTTTAGTTAATCATCCTTCTTCCCTTTTGTTTAAAAACACAAGAGAGGAGTCACCCCCAAACACACACCTCCCTTTCGTCGTCCTTTATGCCCATTCCATGCGCCGTTCATTTAAACATTAGCGCAATTCGCAAACAGGGGTTATATACATGCACCTGTTTTTGCGTGTGAGCGCGCAACGCACTTGCACACACGGCTTAGAAGCTGTAACTGAGTGGCCGTAACTGAGTAGCCGTAGCTGAGCGTCTGTGGCGATTGCCACCCGAGCATCGGTACCTGTCAAATGCCGAAGAGAACGCTGCTCTGTCAGTTTTCCAAAATTTCCATGTCCTCTCTCCAAACACACCCCGTGCACGTGCGTCCAAGGGGAAATTCATTTCTCCGTTAACGCCCCTGCCTACCTTCGCCTTTGTGCATGTCCATCTGCATGTGCACGTACATATACACATAGGCACATTTTACGGTCTCATATTTTTAAAGCAGCTCGCCCGTGCGCGCCTAAGCGTTGCATATACAGGATTGTTAGAGTTGTATTTTTGTGTCAAGTGCTTCCTTAGTCAATTTGTCTACCTTTTGAAGCGTCCACTTGTTGCATGGTCGTGTTTTGCGCTGACTAAAGTTGTAATTTTTTTATGCCTTTTTTTTTTGCCTTTTTTTTTGCCTTGTTTTTATGCCTCTTTTTTTGCCATTTTTTTATGCCCTCTTTTTATTCCTTTTTTTGACGTCCACCCCGCATCGACCCAACGATGAGAATGTAAAAATTACAAACGGGGTGTATTTCAAAATTTTGTCCCACTTAACTCACATGCATAATACGGTGAGCATAGGTGTTGTGTCTCTGAGAGAGTTGTTAAGATAATTCCTGTGGAGAAAAATCCCTCAGTGAATTCTGCCCCCACTTGATAGTAGCCACAGCATCCTAGCAGTCCAGCGTCCCACCACTCCATCGCCACGTTTTCCCGTCATGTAAGAGCATACGCACCTGCGCCAATAGGAGTTAAAAAGCGCGTCAATCGGTTTGCACGCCGTATTTTCACGTAAAGGCGACTCCTTAAAGCAGCACGTACATCATCAGAGGGGGAGCAGCAGACATTTTGCTTTGCTCATTTGGGCATCTGTCTATTAGTTCATTTGGGTACTTGTCCATTTGCTTATTTAGGCATTTTCTTTTTTTCTCATTTTCTTTTGTGCTTCATTTTTCCCCCTTGTTAGCCGCGCAAAGGATCAGCCGAAAACGTGTCCCAGTTGGACCCCCCTGCAAGGTACACTTGAACGTTGGAAAAAAATCCCAAAGGGGAGAGAACGCGACCGAGTGAGCAAAAGAGCAAAAGAGGAGATGATCCGATGAGAGCCAATCGCAGCAGTGTCTTTCCCGCATTTGTTTAAGTGCCCAATACAATGTTGAGCAGAAGTTCCTCCTGAGTATCCCCCCCCAAAATGCATGTGTGTAGCGTGCCGTTTACGCCATTCGAATTAAGACAACAACAGGAAGATACGTGAGACAAGCGGGACATGCGTGGGAAATCCACCCATTCCTTAAGCTCCTTGTACACACAAACTGGCATGTCTAAATGTAGCAACTGACAGCAGTGGCTGTTTTTCCTCCCTCCATGCCCTATTTTTGTGCAAAAAAATAAAATAAAATAGTAAAAAATAAATTTCCGCACCCCGCGTTGACATTTCTGTGCATGTGGCGAAAGGGGGAGAAAAAAAAACGCGGAGGGAATACTTTCTCAAAAAAAAAGGAACAATATTTTCTGACCCTATATTTTGGAGAGACACGTACACACGATCAACACCCACAGGCTTATTTTTCCAGCATGTCCATTGCAAGTTCAGTAGGAACTAAGACATTTACGCCGTCGTAAAGGTTCCCAGTTGATACATCGCACACCTGCTTCAAACGAAAGGCACCCTCCGAGAAGCTATCGCCACGCAAAAGAGGAGGTCCGCCCAGGAAAAAATGTACGCACAGTTAGGCGCAGTTACGCGGAGGTTCACTTATCTATAGGCTAACTTCCGTGCAGAGTAACCCGCCACTGAGGAAAAGTAGCACATTTTATTGTACACGTCAAGTGGAGAGTTAGGCAGCAGAAAAAAGAGGAGACGTACACCTTCGCTGTGCCACAGTTGAGACTGTCCTGTGTGGCGTGGCAGAAGGGGGAGAAGTAATCGAGGGGGAAGAAGCAATCAGAGGGGGAAATCTCATCGTGAACTACTTAGACGCTCTAAAGGGGACATTCCCTCCCCAAGCCAACACATCTACGAATATACACATGTATGCACAACCCTGCCGCTGAATTAACGCGAAATTTCTTTTTTCCTTTTTCCCCCCCGATCGTAGCAAATGCAAAGCCCCAGATCAATCGCCTCTACCAAGGTGCTAAACAGTCGAACTTCTCATCACCAAATGGCAGACAGTGCGAAGAGACTACCACTCACCGCGGAAAACCCAGAATTGAAGAAGAGCCCATCGGGGCGCATGTCCGATGACGGAATTAAGAGGACGCCCTCTGGCAAACCAATACAGACAATGTATGTATTAAACAGGAAAGGAGAGGAAGAAGATATTTCATTTGACCAGATTCTAAAAAGGATACAGAGGCTTTCCTACGGATTGCACGAATTGGTAGACCCCGCGAGAGTAACCCAAGGAGTGATAAACGGAATGTACAGCGGAATTAAGACGTGCGAATTGGATGAACTAGCAGCACAGACATGTGCCTACATGGCTACGACACATCCGGATTTCTCCATCCTGGCAGCGAGAATTACCACCGATAATCTGCACAAAAATACCAGTGACGATATAGGAGAAGTCGCAGAAGCGCTATATATGTACAAAGATGTGAGAGGAAGACCGGCTAGTCTGATCAGCAAAGAAGTATATGACTTCATGATTCAACATAAGGACAGATTGAACAAAGAAATTGACTATACACGCGATTTTAATTACGATTACTTTGGATTTAAGACGTTAGAAAGATCGTACCTCCTTCGAATTAATGGAAAGATTATCGAGCGACCACAACATCTGCTGATGAGAGTATCCATCGGAATCCACATTGGAGATCTGGACAGAGCGCTCGAGACGTACCATCTCATGTCACAGAAATATTTTACGCACGCAACTCCTACGTTGTTCAATTCTGGGACGCCAAGGCCGCAAATGTCCTCCTGTTTTCTCCTCTGCATGAAATCGGATTCAATTGAAGGCATTTTCGAGACTCTAAAGCAATGTGCCCTGATTAGCAAAACAGCTGGTGGGATTGGAGTGGCCGTACAGGATATAAGAGGACAAAACTCCTACATCAGAGGGACCAACGGAATATCCAACGGGTTAGTACCAATGCTTAGAGTGTTTAATGATACAGCCAGATATGTAGATCAAGGTGGCGGAAAAAGAAAGGGATCCTTTGCCGTGTATATCGAACCGTGGCACTCAGATATATTCGAATTTTTAGATCTTCGTAAAAATCACGGTAAGGAAGAACTCCGAGCTAGGGATCTTTTCTATGCTGTATGGGTACCTGATCTCTTCATGAAGAGAGTAAAGGAAAATAAAAATTGGACTCTCATGTGTCCGAATGAATGTCCAGGGTTAAGTGAATCCTGGGGAGAAGAATTCGAAAAATTATACACAAAATATGAGGAGGAGAATATGGGCAAAAAAACAGTCCTAGCACAAGATCTCTGGTTTGCCATTCTGCAGAGTCAGATAGAAACCGGTGTCCCTTACATGCTCTACAAAGATTCCTGTAATGCTAAATCGAATCAGAAAAATTTAGGCACAATAAAATGTAGTAACCTCTGCTGTGAGATCATCGAGTATACTTCTCCTGACGAAGTGGCCGTGTGCAACTTGGCTTCCATTGCGTTGTGCAAATTTGTCGATGTAGAGAAAAGAGAATTCAATTTTAAGAAACTATACGAGATTACCAAAATTATTACCCGAAATTTGGATCAGATCATAGAGAGGAATTACTACCCTGTGGAGGAGGCCAAGCGATCAAACAAGAGACACAGACCGATAGGCATAGGAGTACAGGGCTTAGCAGACACGTTTATGCTTCTTAGATACCCTTACGAATCCGATTCTGCGAAAGAGTTAAATAAACGCATTTTCGAAACAATGTATTATGCTGCTTTGGAGATGTCCATGGAATTGGCACAAGTGTATGGACCGTATGAAACCTACCAGGGCAGTCCAGCTAGCCAAGGAATCCTCCAATTCGACATGTGGAATGTCAAGGTGGATAATAAATATTGGGACTGGGATGACCTGAAGGCAAAGATAAAGAAGCATGGATTGAGAAATTCGCTCTTGTTGGCCCCCATGCCTACTGCTTCCACGTCACAGATTCTTGGGAACAATGAGTCCTTTGAGCCATACACCAGTAACATCTACTACAGGCGGGTTCTCAGTGGAGAGTTTTTCGTAGTGAACCCACATTTACTGAAGGACCTCTTCGATCGTGGTCTCTGGGATGAGGACATGAAGCAGCAGCTAATTGCCCACAATGGAAGTGTGCAATATATCAGCGAAATTCCCACCGATTTGAAGGAGCTCTATAAGACCGTTTGGGAGATCAAGCAGAAGAACATCATCGATATGGCGGCCGACCGGGGCGCCTTCATCGATCAGGTGATGCATCGTGTGACGAGAGTGGGCTGGTCGCCTTCCCCATTGGAAGTTCCCTCGTGGGACTTCTCTTTGTGGGACCACCCCTGCAGTAGTCCACAAGCTCATATTTTTTCCCCCATTGAGATCTTCTCCATATGTATATCTCCCCCCAATTCTCTCTTCCCCCGCGCAGTCCCAATCGCTCAACATCTACATCCAGAAGCCCACCTTCGCGAAGCTCTCCAGCATGCACTTCTACGGATGGGAGAAGGGACTGAAGACAGGAGCGTACTACCTCAGAACGCAGGCCGCGACGGACGCAATAAAATTCACAGTCGACACGCAGGTGGCAAAGAATGCCGCGAAGATGAAGAACGCCGAGGGAGTAGCCATTACGAGGGAGGTGTCCAGGGAGACCATTTCGACGGAGTCCACCATCACGCAAAATACCGTGTGTCAGCTGCGTCGCAACAACGACGAACAGTGCTTGATGTGCTCGGGCTGAGAGGTCACCGGGGTCTGGAACTGCACACATGAGTCTGACAATGGAGCTAAGCGTGTTGTCCTCAACGCAATTACTTATTCATACAGTTGCGCCACCGTGCCCATCATGCAGACAGAGTCGCAACCCATGTGCCAAAAAAAAGTTAAACATATAACCGCATAGCTACATAGCGACATGACGATGTGACGACGGAGCGAGAGAAAACGCTAAGCCCAAGGGAGAGCCACACCATAGCGTTCCCAACAAAAAAAAAAGTGGTAACAGAGGGTTGGACATACTGGACAAATTGCAAAAGGAATTTACGCCCCGAACCCACCAAAAAAAAAAAAAAAAAAAAAAACTGCACCATTAAAAAGTAACCATTTTTCGCGTTTTGCATTTCCAATTTATTGGCATTTTCATTCGCGCATAGGCCCCGCGGTGTGAGCCACAAGTAGGTTCCACTCGTCTACTCCCCCTTTTTGCACCGATCATGGTGCATTCCCTCTCCCATGTACGCGGTGGCCTTCCCGAATTAACTGACAGTCGACACTTAACACTCGACAAAATTGACCAAGTCGGCCATATTGACCAAATGGACAATTTTATAAATTTTCGAAATCTCTAAATTGAATGAAAAAAAAACGTCCCGATTTGTCTCCCCCAAGAGGGCGCAAATGCCAAAGTGGGTATTTCCAATTGTGTATTCCCACTTGGCGAAGATTCCCCCTGGGGGGTCGTCCACTTTGAATCGAAACGGTGTCGCCAAAAAGGAGCAGGTGGTTTGGTCACTCCTTCGTTACGTGCTTGTTCATGTTAGACTGTCCACAATTAGGACAAATGAAGTTCTGCATAGAGGTGGTAAAAAAACGGTGGAGTCGTATGATGGTTTGATTGAGAAGGCACAATGAAGATGCATATATTCGTATGAATGGAAATTAAGCATGTACAAACAGTGGAGGCAAACAGGAGAATAACCCAATCGGAGTGGAAAAACTCTGGAGCGATGTGGAAGCCAAATCACCACACCAGAGTTAGAGGCCTACCCCCTTTGCCTCCCTCCTTTGCCTACCTCTCCTTTACCTACCTCCTTTACGAATTTTTGGTCCCTCCCTTTGGATGGAAATATCACCAAGTTGCATTTAACGCATTTGTATTTGAACAAGCCGCTCGACGGGGTTGACCGGGTTGACCCGCTAGACCCGCTGGACCCGCTGGACCCGTGTGATCCTTCCCCCGTCGTTTCTTGCCTGTGTTTGTAGAAGAAGCCTGCAACGAGTTTGAAAATGGGCCGTGATGAAGTGGTGGGGGGGAAAAAAGCAGAATGAAGAGAATCGGCAAACGTGTTCACAGGTTAACATTAACGGAAGATGACGCTAACACTGCCTAACGCTACGGCGCGCCCATGTCCACTCCTTCTCGTGCTAACCCACTAGCGAGCCCAGCGCAAGCGTCATTATAATCAAGCCGCCTGGACTGTTGACCCCCCTGGCAGCCTTCGCTATGTTCGACTGAATCGTCTCCAGGTAGTTTTCCTCCCTACGGGGATTCAATTTTAACACCTTCTTCTTTGCCGTCTTTTTTGCATGAGCTCTCTTTAACAATTGCGTGCGGATATAATGAGAATTCTCCAATTTTACTCCCCGGGATGCGAAAATGGAGAGAATGAAGACGTATGCAAATATGTAGATTTTCATTTTTTCGTTCCTCTGGCCTGTTCAAGGTTTTTTTTTCTTCCTTCTAATGCAAGTGGGACGGCTACATCTGTGTCACTGAACGGTTGGTGACATGTTGTTATGTGCAGGGCATGCCTTACCACCTTCAGCGTTTGGCGCTGTCACCTCAGTCATGATGTTCTCCCTTCGTTTTAGATCTACGGAATTTCGGCCATATATTTTTTTTTTATCTCTCTCTCCCCATAAAATGATCATACTGGACGGTTGTATAAAAATCTGCTTAGATAGATTGTCAAATTCAAAAAAAAAAAAATACATAAATAAAAAAAAAAAAAAAAAAACACAGAAACGATAAGTGCCAGCCACACACTGGTATGAGGCACAAATGGAGTTTCCGCGTCGGGATGTCGGGGGGTACTTTGTCGGTGCGAAACAAGTCACACAAGTTTCTCAACAAAAAAGGCACTATGCGCAACATTGTGCGAACATTTGAGAGTGCCTGTTTAAGTCGCCCCACTTGAGCAACATCACGCCGTCATGTCGCACTACACTTCACTGCTTTGCAGGGTATTCGGTTATGCTTCATTCTGTTCCATCTGTAAGCGGTCCTACTGACCGAGCACAAAAGGGACAAAGTGGGGGGAGTGGCTAAAATGCGCATCACTTCTTTGTCCCGACGTGGATGCTCTCACCTGCGCGGAACAATAAACGCTGTTCAATCCTGTGTAGGGGAAGCCCCTCCATTTAGACGCCAACTGATGCCATAACCTTTTGGCGCATAAAATGAGGTCCCACTCGGCCGCCTTACGTGTACTGAGACGATCAAGTAGGATACCCTAGCTTGACAAAGTTGTCGAAAAAAATGACCACCATTCTCCAGTCCGATTTGTTAAATTCTTTCTTTGCCCCTACTCAGTAGTGCATCCATTTTGAAGGAAACATACTTAGTCTTTTTGTTTAATAATTTTTTTTTATTTTTTCCTTCGACACAAAGTAACTTCCCATTGAAGAAAGAACAACGCTCCGCGAAGAACTGAATTTTTCACATTAAAAGGGGCAAAAAAAGAACAGAGCGGTGACCCACAAGGCAGTTAACTAATTTTCCCTGTTTACATATAAGCCCACTTCGCAGGTGTGGCGGGGCTGGCCACAGTTGGGCTTCCCCTTCAGAACAAGGAAATGTACAAAGGGGGTATTCGTAAAAAGAGGGGTCCACGGGCCACGGTACACTATCCATGGTGTGCGGTGCACGGTCCAGGGTCTAGGGGTCACAGTCCACGATGGGGGATGTCCACACCACGTGGAAGCACAAAACGATAGAGAAACCTCTTTCAGACATTTTCATTTAAAAAAAAAAAAAAAAAACAATGTGACGACGTGAGAAACAAATGTGCTGCAACCTTCCGTTGGACGGGCCCCCCTTGCGTGTATGTCAACATACGCCCACAAGGCCCACCTTAAAAAATGATAGGCAGTCCGTTGAAAAACCACTCTCAGTCCAGTATATTATTCATATAAGTCTTTACATCTGCAAAAAGGGGGGAAAGGACGAATAAAGTTTTACATGTAGACTTGCCGCACGGTGTGTTATGTGCAACTGGGGGTAGGGGGAAATGGCGCATGGCACACGCATGTGGGGAAGGTGTGTCAATGGGGCTATTGACAAAAAGGGGGAAGCACAGGAGGGAGAAGAGGAAGAAGAAGCAAAAGAAGAAGCGGCGCAGGAGCCATTCCCCGACGACACACACAGACGAAACAAAGGCAGGCGGAAAAAGGCAAAAAAAAAATAAATAAATAACAGAAAAAGAGATAAACTAAAAATGTTCACTTTGTTTCTTTCTGAAATGATTTTAAACGTATTAACAAACAAAAAAAAATAAATAAATTAGGAACCAACACAATGAGGTAAAATAAGGCATTATCGTGAAATGGCGGACATAGACGTGATGAACAAAAAATGGGGATGAGGGGTGCTAAGAAATGTGGTTAAAAGGGGGTAATAACGGAAAATTGATATGCCATGGTAGGGGAATGGATAGCTCGTGTTGACGACTCCCTCGCCCATTTTGTCCACCGCACGAGAGCAAAGAAGAGCAAATATGCAACGGTAAAGGTGTCCGCGCGAGGAAATACACGTGATGTAGGTAAAAACAGCACGGCGGACATTCATACCCTGCACCTAGAATGGGGCCATCCATGGAGAGAACCCCAAATGAATATCCCCCCAAATGAATATCCCCCAAAGGAGTACCCCCCAAATCAGTACTCCCCCAAATTCATCGACTTAACATACTGCTTCATACCTGACGAATTAAATTTGTAAAAATCGTCCTTGTTTAGGATCTTCGACCAGATGAGCAGATCGCCCCGCATCAGGCCCCTCCGAACAATCTGAGATAAATTAAAGCCATTTTGTTTAACAAAATATAAACTGTCTGTATTTAAGTTATTTGTGAAAACTTTTAATTCTTGGTAATTCTGTTCATGTGCAAAATTTTCCAGTTGGGTTAGCAGCCTGCTTCCGATTCTCATTCGTCGATTGTCCTTTTTTACGACCATCCTGACTAGCTGTGCTATAGAATTGTCTCCCTTGAATGGCACAATTCCTACACAGCCGACTATCTTTCTGTTCACAAAACGAAAGTTGGAATCATCATCATCGTTCGTTCTGGAATGGAATATATTTTTCCTAATTTCGTTCAACCGATATGGCACAGTCCTCCTACTTTCGATGAGCTCCCTCTCCCTGTTGGCAATATCGCCTATGCTGAGGAGCTTTGTTTTTTCTTCACTTCCACTGGGCGGGTTGTTCTGCAGATCGGTGGCGTTATCCACCGTTCGGCTGTTACTCCCGTTGCTGTCATGATTGGTGTCGCTACTTGTAATGTTTCCCCTCTGCTTGTCCTCCTCATCGTCACATTTGCTATTTTGACTGTTCTTACCATGCTTCCCATTTTTACTGTCTCTTCCTTTACTTTTTTTTCCCTTCTCCTCGTCCGTACCGTTTGTGCTCCCAAGCTCCGACGTACTATCACACCTAGCTTCGTCTCGAGTGTCATTCGAAGGGTTCTCCCCCCCTTGATGGGTATTCAACCCGACTGCAACACCACTGGGCGAATTCCTACTCACTTTGTAGTAAATATCATTATAATTAGGTGATGTGCATTCCTCAATGTCCATCATATTGACAACATTCCTTTTGGTTCCATTTTTCTCATCATTTGTGGCTTGACTGAAGTCCCTGTTTTTATGATCCCCATTTGTGCTTACGTTCTTTTCCGTTTCGGAATGGTTCGGACTTACATTGCTGTCTTCACCTTCATTACAGCCACTTTTCTGTAACATTTTTGGCTCATTCGATTCTTCACCACTTTCGAACGCTCCACTTTTTGGAGACGCATCTTTGAAGTACTTGCCATCATTTTCTTCATCGGAGTTTTTTACTTCTTGTTCCCCCTTCTCACTGCATAACAGCTTCTCCTGTTCCTCCTGTTCCAGTAAAATCTTTTCCCTTTCGTGTATATCACTACATGTCGTTCTGCTGGCCGAGCCAAAATTATTATCAAACACCTCGGCCACCCAAAAATTGCAACCCTCCACGTTTATGTAGCTTTTATATAAATTCTCCAAATCTGGGCAGTCATTTCTTATATGGTTTAAAAATTCCAGTTTTGCTCTTATGTACAAATATATTAAAAATATAATCAGGAAATAAAATATTTTCTTTAAATCCAAAAAAAAGATATAATTTATCACCACGATGACTAGCAAATCATAAATGTGTTGTATGGACCAGTATATAACTGCGGGCAGTGTTAGCGAGTTGAAGTGATCGTGCAGCAGCTGCCTCACTTCGTTTATGTCCTTCTCTTCCAGTTGCCTTATCGAAATCAGCGGTTCGGGGAACCTTGCTTTTTGCTTATCTGCGGGGGGTGAGTGGTAAAGCGGTATCAATAAATCGGTGTAGAAGCGGCATACGAAAAAATTATGCACATTTGGGACAAAAATGCAAAATAGCTAGTTGGCAAAAAAAAAATATATATTCCCCGTTTAGGTGAAATGCGCAAAATAGCTAGCTGGCAAAAAAAAAAAACCATTTCCCGTTCAGGTGAAAACGAAGGGAAGGCGCGGCCTTCAGCGCTGTATGCTCCTCTCTCTGACATTCGTGAAACACACTCACATGAAGAGCAAATTTGAATCTCTTTAAATATTACTTATTAAAATATGAGATATAGAACTTGGCGGCTTTTCCTTTTGCTTGAATAAATTCATGGTTGGCTGTCCTGTTTGCTATATTTCCCCTTTTTATTTTATTTATTTTTGCGTGTCTGTTTTATAGGCCCGCGTTTGGCCTTTCTTTCCCTTTTTTCTTTTTTTTTCCCCCTTGGTGCCCTTTTCCTTCCACACTTTCGCTGTTTACTTCGTGTGTGGAATGTTGCCTGTTTCTATCGTGCTGATACTCCACTGGTTTGAAAAAGAAATGGGAACAAAAAAAATTTCAAGAGAGTTAGGCACGGACGTATGGATTGTGGGAATCTTTCATTTGCAACGGTTGGAAGAACATGACAAAGGAGCTTGCGTTCGAATTTGTACTGACGCTGCTGTAGACGTTCGCCTCGGCACTAGGAGTTAACTTTCTCATGGGCCCCTGCGTCAACATTGACATCCACGTTTGCGCTGGCCTTCGCGTTTGCGTTAGCACTTTCTCTGGCACTGCAAACTCACAGTATCGTTTTCATCGCTTCAGCATTGTCACCAAGTAAAGCTGAAAGGGGGGATGATGATCTGAACTGAGTTTTTTCCTCTAATATGTTTCAAATTTCCCACGAAAAAGGCGAAATGCATGCAATGATACAGTCATGCTGAGCGGTATTGTTTTTTTATGAAACCCATTTCCCCTTTGGGGGTTTCTTTTAATGAAAAAAAAGAAAAAAATTAAAATAAAATATTACTACGTTACAAATGCTGAACATGTGACGAGCGGTTGAGGAACAAATGAAGAATTCAAACCAGGGGGGAGAAAAAATGAGCTGGGAAAAAAAGCAGGCTGCGGAGAACACGAAAAATGAGAAAAAAAAAAAAAAAACACATACATACATATACACAAATATATGTGCGTTCATTCCAGCCCTGTTTATGTATATAATAATATCCTCTTTACTAGGCGCGAAAATGGGCTAAAAATGCCGGCGAGGCAAAGGTCGATGAAGTAAACGCGAAGCCAAAATGTACGTTCGCGAAAGGAGGTTCTCCATGCAGTAAATACTTGGGGCAATAAGAACAAGCAGCGCATATCTTTGGCCCTTTCTCCTTCCAAAGGAATTTCCCAGCAAGAGTACAAAAGAAAAAAAAAAAATGGAAAAATGTTTCCTTTTCTGAGGGGAATACATCCAAGCGGAAAATTTTCCAAGCAGTTAAATGGTTAAATGGTTAAATGGCTAAATAAATTAACGTGCGTATGCGCCTATATGGGATCATACGCGCATTGGGTATTGTATACATAACCGTATAAGGACCATTGTGGGGCAAGATTTTCGGCACGGCTATTCCTTGCATTGAGCCATACCCATCACATGGGTGGGATCGACCTGGCAACAGCTCTAAGTCGGCATTTTCCAATATGCTACATACTCGCATAATCCCTTTTTTCTGCCAAAGTTACCCGCTAAGGGAGAGTCTAAAGTGCTCATAAAAAAAACATCACATTTGAGGCGCAACTAATCATTGGTCTGTGTGTATGCTCTAAAGGGTCGTTATGGAAAGATTGGATCATAGTAGTCGTCTACTCAGTGGCTGCCACGAGAGAGCGCACAAGAAGGAGTGCTCCCCTTTCCCCCGTCTGTATGGATGTACATGCATATGAAGAACATATACATTTGACACTTTCCCACCTGTAACGCGCGGCGTGCATTCGCCTCCTGTCCCATGAGATATGACAAGGCAATTTAAATACAAAATAATCTGCCCTGAACTCCAAAAGGAAGAAGTCACATGTAGAAAAAAATGTGCACAGGTGACCACAACAGTGAAAAAAATAAGAGGTTTATTGTTTGCGTTTTTTTTCTTTCTGTTTTTTTTTTTTTTTTTTTTTTTATCCTATTCGCGGCACATGTAATTGCGCTTCCCAGCCAAGAACGGAAAAGCACACGAAAGGTAACAAAGGGGAATGATAAACTGTACGGCGACACGTAGTGCGCAATTGTGGGTGAAGCGGTGCCGCGATGAGATGTGGCGCAACACAAACGACCTTGTGATCATGCTGTCATTGTAATTGTCACCATGTTCTGATTGTACCTCCGAACCTGCTGATTGTATTTGTGAAGTCCCCATCCCGTGGCGGCTCCCTCCTTGGTCCACTTCACTCATTCTGAGGCGCATTGGCCTCCCCGAACAGCATAACCAGCGTGCCTCCATCTGTTACCACCTTCACAATGGAGAAGTACAAACAAATCCTGGCCAAACTAAAGTGGCACAAAAACCGAAGCTGCGAAAAGTACCAGTTTGGGATCTTCCAAATTGACAAGCGGGAAGTGTTCATAACGACGGACCACTCGTATGGGTTTGTTAACAACAAGCCACTTCTACCTGGACACATCCTACTGACCACATTAAAAAGGAAAGAAAAATATAACGATCTCGAAATAGACGAAATTATAGACATCAATTTGTTGTCAAATTTTATGTGCCATGTTATGGGTGCCCTACACAACACAACGGATTTCTCTATAGCTATACAGGATGGGAAGGATGCAGGGCAAACGGTGGATCAGCTGCACATTCATATAATTCCCAGGAAAGGAGGCGACTATCAGAATAATGACAACATATATAAAGACATGAACAGATTGAATTGGGGATACGGACGAGATGTCGTGTGTTCCGCTTGCAAACATTTGGTGAATGTCCCGTCGAAGGGTCCAGTTGATGAGACCTTCAAATTGGAAGAATTCAAGTAAGGCCCGAAAAGGAGGCGGCGGGGTTGCATTTTTTTTTTTTTTTTTTGTATCACTTCATACGTGACGTAAACTACCTTTACCATGCTCACCATTGTGAGTGCTCCCATTCTTGCGATTTTTTTCTTTTTTTTTTTTTTTTTTTTGCTCAGCACTGCCCTGAGATCCATCGACGAAATGGAAGTAGAAGCAAACACGATAAGGTCTTACATCGAAATCAATTTTGCGTCACCTTGAGCGCTGCGTTCACGCGCCCGACGTCGCTACTTATGTACCATACGGGTGGGTATATGCCCGTCGAAGGTGCCACACCTACGTTGTAATTGTGTCCGCCCTTTGCGTACTTCCTGCATTCTACGCACATTACGCAATTTACTCGCTTTTTGGAGGGGCTTCACCTTTGAGAGTCTCGTTAAATGCCCTCATCCGAAATGGCATACCCGACAAAGAACCTACTACGTCGGTGTAAATATGTTCCCTCCTTCACCCTTTTTCGCTACCTAATTGGCAAATTTCTGTCGCTGCACGAATCGGCACGGGTGAACCGTTCGAATGGCTACACAGTAGGGGAGAATACACGCTGGTGAGAAGCCAATGAATATTTTGTTTTCTCCTCTTCTTTCTACTTTTTTTTTTTACCTTTTTTTTGCCTTTTTTTTTCGCATAACTGCGCGAGGGGAATGTTTCCTTTATTGACAACTGTATGGAGCACCTTGCCCCCTTAGGAACACTTCGCGGAGTTGTTCCAGCCTGAAGGGCTCGCCGCGACATGGGATAGTATAGGCACGAGGAAGGAGCCACCCTCAGCAGGAAAACCATCCTCCGTAGAGGCTTCCTCCGAGCAGCTGCGTACTGGCCGAACCGTCCACCATGTCCGCGACACACACGGAAAAAGAGGCCCGTTTCTAACGCAAAAATGCCAATTTACCTGCTGCTGCTTGTCGGGATTACCCTCTCCCCCCTATGTGCACATAAAGGGGAGGCAACCGCCAGGTACAGCTACATAACAAGCAGAAACAACGTACCAGTGGGGAGATTAAGAAATCTAAAAAAATCCAGAACGAAGTTGCTCCTTTCACCCGGTGAACACAACGAACACGGGATCAGAATCCCGTCGTTGTTACTCTCCAAGAGAATCATATTTCTGTCATCTCCAGTGTATCCCCACATCTCCGAGCAGATAATCTCACAGCTCCTCTACCTGGAGTATGAGTCCAAAAGAAAACCCATCCATCTATACATTAACAGTACAGGCGATTTAGAAAACAATAAAATTATAAACCTTAATGGAATCACAGATGTCATATCGATCATCGATGTGATTGATTACATCTCGTCTGATGTGTACACATACTGTTTGGGAAAGGCATATGGCATTTCCTGCATTTTGGCTAGCAGTGGGAAAAAGGGGTTTCGCTTTTCGCTGAAAAACTCCTCCTTCTGTTTGAACCAATCCTACTCGGTTATCCCCTTCAATCAAGCCACCAACATAGAAATACAGAACAAGGAAATTATGAACACGAAGAGGAAGGTCGTCGAGATTATTGCCAACAACACGGGGAAGGAGAAGAGCCACATCGAGCGCATTTTGGAGAGGGACAGGTACTTCAGCGCCACGGAGGCTGTGGAATTCAACTTGGTGGATCACATCCTCGAGAAGGAGTAGCGAGGGCGGAGGTACCTGTGGGGCGGCACCACTGTTTAGAGGCACCCTTGGTAGAGACACCGCAAAAAAGTGACCGCTTTACCCCCTCCCCCGGAAAATATGCTCGCAAAGAGGCTGCTCCCAACCGCGCGTGGATCGCAGAACCTTGCCACGTACAACCTGCTCAGGACAACATGGCTAATCGCCTGGGCAAGGAAACTCTACTCGCACGAACGGAGCAGCAATTTTGGCAAAAAAAAAGCGCAAAATGGGACTAAACAAATCAGGAAGGGAGACATCAACTCGATTGAACACCCCAAGGACGACAAACCATCTAACTTTCCAAAGCGCGATGGAGGGTCAAAAGGAATACTCGCCAATTTGGTAAGCAAAAATGGAAACAAACAAATGACAAGGGAGTTGCCCAATTTAGTGCTTGCACTTCTGCAGGAAAAATTCTCCCTGCAGTCAGAAAAAGAAACTCTAATAGATCAGTACAGACAAATTGTGTGTGAACGTTTCGAAGGGGGATCCCAGAATAGTGCAGATAAAAACGACGCCCTGAATTTTTCGGACATTTTTGCCACCCTGTATTTGTGTTACGTGGAAAAAATATTCGACTTGGACTTCGTGACCAAAGTGAATTCCGCGCTGGAAGTGCTGCTCAGCGGGGTGGGCGGCAAAGGAGATCAAATGGATCAGAGGGGTAATCGCGGTTATCGTGGCGATCGCGTTGAGGGTGAGAAAGACGGGCTAAACGAAGCCACAATCAACTACTGCATGATGATGTTCCACTACTTATCCTCTTTGAATGTCAAAAATGTAACATTGTGCAACCAGGTGAGAAACTATATCGTAAACAACGAGGTGCCCCCCCTGGTGATCTACCATTACCTGGAATGCCTCAGCCTGCTAGCCGACTCCACCGACAGAAGCGGCAAGCATAGTCTGCGCGATTATGTTTTGCCCGTCGTAGAAATCTTCTTGGAGAACTTTTACAACTTCAACAATTATCTTTTGCTGCGCATTTTGCACTTTCTACATAAACTGAACTTTATGGACGCAGAACTGTTTCTGCTGCTGACAAGGAAGATAAATAAAAATGTGTATCTAGAGAATGCCAACCGCTTTGAGTTGTGCTTGCTCGCGCGTACGTACGCCCTGTACAAGAAGGAAAACATTACATTTAATAATTACCTGTGTGAAGATTTGATGCGCAGCTTGACCAAGTATGAGGACAACTTTCAGGGAGACGAGGGTGGCCCGGTTAGCAGTCAAGTTGGCAGCAAAGTTAGCGGAGAAGTTGGCAGCCAAGTTGGCACCACTCCTGAAGAGTCTTCCCCCTTGCCGCAAGAAAGCGAACTCGCCATCCCCCCCGATGTACTTCAAATTGAAAACGTGAACCGACAGAACTACACCCTCTTTAGGCACCCCCTGTACAACGACGGGTTGAACTTCTACGCCTTCTTCGTTGAGGCGAAGACAAGCAACAGGGAGAAGTGCTTCGAACGGAAAAACAATTTGAACGTGACTTTTGTAAGCGGTAATGCTAACGAGATGGATCGCCAAGGGACAAGTGCACACATGTCCGAGTGGCACAAGCTATTCCTTTACAATGAATATAAAGAGAAGGATATCAGAAATGAACCATTCGTTAAATTGGACAAGACGAAAAAGGGAGATCGAAAAATGGTTGAAGCGTACAATCAATCATTAGCAGAAAATCTGCACTTCCAATTTAGTCATAAGAAAATTGCACAACTGTTTGAACAGGTCAGCGAACGTATGGATAACGTCAAAGTGAACTTCACGGTCGATGCGGAGGGACCCACACAAATGGATGAAGAAGCTATTCACCAATATAGGAAAAAAATTCTTTATGTCGAAAATTATTACATTGGTCATATATTTCACCTAGTAGATTCTTTACTATCTTTGAAGGCACACCACAATTGTGCCACATTCAAAAAAATGGAAAATAAAATTCTGAATGCTATAAAAAATAATGAACTGTACATAATTGACAATTTTGACAGTGAGGAAATTAAAAGTCTCTTAATTTTCTTATCGCATACAAATAGGAATTACAAAGAGGCATTTATTTACGGCCTGACACATCGAATGGTGGATCTGTACATTAATAACTTGTGTCATCCCAGCACACTGTCCACATTTTTTCATTTTTTGTTGAATTTTACAAAACACAGAGTTGTTAAGAAGAACAGATTTAACCACACCATAAGGAATGTCATATATAATAGCTATTCCTGGCTGAATGACAATAAAAGCTTTTTAAATATGACCGCTGGTATCGATGCGAAGAACTGGGAGGAAAAAGAAAACAGTAACACGCGTCGCGCTATCAAAGCGAAAAATTACTCCCTGCTCCAAGTTCTCACCATACATGTGTGCAAAAATGTCTATTTTATGAGCCTCTCAACGCTAGCTTCCCTACTCAGATCAATGTCCTACTTGTCCTTCCCCGATCCGAATTTTTTTAATGTATTCATACCTCTGTTTATGAAACACATGGCAGATCTCAGCAACGTAGACATTTTGAACATAACTCAGGTGAGCGGATTGGCGCGCTCAGGAGATCGCAAAGAGGCACATGTGTGCGTGTATAGATATACTTACATATTGTGAGTTTGAGAGCGAGCACCATCACCCCAACTTCACACCTGCTTCCACAAACCGAGCAGTTTTGACGAATACCCCATTTCACCGCTCACCCCCCCGTGCAGGCCTACAACAAGCAGAAGATCCAAAACAAATATTTCTACTACTTGCTGGCGAAGCAGTACCAGGGCAACCGTTCGGAGGAAACGAAAAATGTCGACCAGAAGATTAAGCTGGTTGGCTAGCCAAACTGAAATAAAAAAAAAAGAAAAAAATATTCCACGTTCAGGAAGTTTTGATATATTTAATTTGCTTCCTCCACGGCGCAGATAGTTTGTGTGCAAACAGTGGAGAGATGCGTACCTCCACAGTAGGACAAACGTGTGATGATTTTTTTCAATATGATGGAGCAGGAAACTACTGGTGATCCGGCGCGGTAACGTCTACGCGGCAACGTTTAGATGCCTTCTCTTTGCAAGCGGAAGTTTTCCGGTACAAAACAGACCAAATAGGACGGAGAGCGCTACGAAACGGCCACATCATTTGTCTCACGACTCTCACGCGCAACTGCTTTGATTTAAAAATCGGCACGATGTTACCTGGATGACGTTGCGGTTAGCGGTGCGTTGCTCTTATACCAGCGCCACATGTGTGTGTACATAACCACATTGTACGAATTGCGCGAATTGCACGAATGTGCCCTTTCCACCACTCTGGGAAGAGAAAACTGCTTCCTATTCTGATGGGCATGCCATTTTGCTCATTTTTTTCTTCTTTTTTTTGTCTCTTCAAATTGCAACAAAATGGGAGTACCCACTACCCCATAAGCTTTCTTAAACGGTAACAAAAAAAGAAAAAATGTTTCCACGGGGCAGTGGCTCATGTGTCCCCAATAAGGCAGTGAGAACATTGGACAAAGTGAGGGGGGAGATCACCGACCCCAGGCGTGCTGCACATATGGGAGGAGTTATATCTCACAAGTTTGGGTGCCTCCAAGAAATACCCCCTTTTGATGTTACTCTGTGCGCAACGCGGTGAAGCGGCTCATTAAAATGGTTCACTACAGAATGGCACTATGAACCGAAGAAGGCATCGATTGTTGCGTTCTCCATAGATCCACCATCGAAATTTTCACCAAAACTGCACGTCCGCTAGTTACGCGCATAAATAACCTTTTCACTAAAAGGGAGCAAACAGCTGGTAAGTACAAATGCTTTTAGTTCCCTCCATATAAAAAAAACAAAGGCGTTAATGCAATTTAATGCAATTCCATGTGACAATTAAAACAACCACATAACATCATTCAGGAATACACACGGGAAAAAGAGAATGAGGGAACTTAGCTCTCCCTTTTAGGTTGTGTTGAAACCAATGCTATGCATTTTTCCACTTTGCCCAGGGCATTACAGCTGTGCTTCAAAACAGAATGGCGGTCCATTACTCTTCCCAAAATAAATGCCAAGGAAGGGGGCGAATTGGGCTAAGTTGCAGTAGCGCTCAAGTGACAGCTCCTTCCGACGGAACAGCTTTCTTAGTGACGCATTCGGCGGGCACAAACAGGTGAATAAGCGAAGGCGAGGCAAAACGAGAGAAAAATGAACATTATAAAAATGCCACTCATTTATTCATCCCCCTAAACTTTTTCATTTTAACAATTTCTGTTATTACACCTTTTTGCTGTGAATTTTTTTCTTTTTTCCGATACTGATTTAGCTGTGTTTTTCACACTTTAATATTTTTTTGCATTTTTTTTTTTTTTTTGTTTCCGAATTGCCTATCATTTCAGTTTTGCAAAAATGTGTACCTCTTAGTTCCTTTCACCTTCATCGTCCACATTTTTAAATTTGTAAAAAGATCATTTTCTCATGAATACACTTTTTACACATTTTGAAAAGGCTGTAAAGGTAAAGTACGCATGGAATTAACCGAATAAGAAGAAAAAATGGATGAAAATGACGATGTTCCAAAAAAGGGGTAAGTGTGGAAAAAGGAAGTTCATTTATGGATGTATGCATGCGTATGTGTCTATGCGAACGCATTCTGTGCTACAACGCAGAAGAAACAAACCGGTTTGTTTTTTCGATTGCATTCATTTGTGTGAAGAAGGTTGGTATGAACACACTGCCAGTTTTTACACATTGCTCATTATGCGCGTTCGCTTCAAGCGCAGTTAGTAGACTAGCGGTGAAAATGCGTGTGCCAGTTCTTATCCAATCAGTCAGACGGAACGGGGTGGAAGAGAGAAATGCTACCAGAGAAACTCGCTTAGACACCCCCACACGCTAACCTGTGTGCACAGCGCCAGTTGTGCAACCTATGTTCGGAGTAATATTCAGAAGTTCGCTGCACACCTGGTCTCTTTTTCCTTTTCGCTTTCTTATTCTACTTATCTACGTGCTGAAAAATGATGGGGTGGTTCGTCACCATCAGTGCTATCACTAGCTTTGTCACCAACGACGGCGCGATTTCGTTTGCTCGGCTTAGCTTTCGCCTGCCCAATTAGGGTGTGTTTTCCCTCGATGTGGGCGGAAAATACATGCGTTGAAAATACATACGTGCACGCCTTGCCACCTCTCACCCACATTTCAGCAATGAACGGAATAAGAAGAAGGCCATTTTTTCAAATGACGATTTCTCGGGGGAAGACACTTTGATGGAGGTACGGTACCAGTGAAATGAGTCCGCTCATGGGAGAATTATAAACTCTTCTCAGATTGGTCGTTTCGCAATTTTTTTTTTCCTTTTTTGAGCCAAATGTTTTCCTCTTTTTTTTTTTTGCTGGCCAACCCACCAGGACCACCTCCAACTGAGGGAAAAGCTTGCAGAAGACATCGAGATGATAAAGACGGCGCTCAAAAATAACCTCGTTTGTAGCACGTTGAACGACAATGAAATACTGACCCTGTCTAATTATATGCAGTTTTTTGTTTTCAAGGGTGGAGACCTGGTGATAAAGGAGGGGGAGAAAGGTACCGCCGCGAGTACATTGAGTAGAGGTGTATGAATCTGTACGTTTTGTTTATTTTTTTCTGCATTTTCCTTGCGTCTGCTTAAACCGTCCACTTGGTCCGCTTGAGTCGCCCACATACCCACATACACACCCCTCACTCTCGCTCTTCCTCCCGCGCGAAGGCTCCTACTTCTTCATTATAAACAGCGGCAAGTTCGATGTGTACGTGAATAATAAGAAGGTGAAGAGCATGGGGAAGGGGACGTCCTTCGGGGAAGCAGCCCTAATTCACAACACTCAGAGGAGCGCAACGATCATAGCTGAGACGGACGGTACACTCTGGGGTGTGCAGAGGAGTACCTTCAGAGCAACACTAAAGCAATTGTCTAATCGAAATTTTAACGAAAACAGGAGCTTCATCGACTCTGTGTCCGTCTTCGACATGCTAACGGAAGCACAGAAGAATATGATTACCAATGCATGTGTTATTCAGACTTTCAAACCAGGGGAGACAATTGTAAAGCAGGGCGATTATGGCGATGTGTTATATATATTGAAGGAAGGTAAAGCCACAGTTTATATTAACGATAAAGAAATAAGAGTACTTAACAAAGTAATATAACTGAGTGAGGTCCCGTCAGGGGGGGAGCGCCCACGCGCGCAAGGAGGGTGAACACTTGCATTCCTGCTGCCTCCATGTGCACACATAGAGGTGCACCCTTCGGCGCATTGATGCGGCGATGCCATTACATGGAGGATTCCTTCCTCGGTCGCCAAAACATTTAGATGACATTGATGCGTGCCTATTCCAGTTTTGTTCTTTACGGGTTGACCCGCGATTCGAAACAGTGACTCACCCTGTTGAACACGTCCCTAAATA